TAATATTTTTTTCTAATATCCATATTACAAGCCTAGTTTATATACTTGCGGTTTGTTGAGTGTTGCGAGTATTAATTATTATTACTCTAATATGAATTTATAATTTAATTCATGTATATTTTATTTTAATATCAAAAACATTTGTAAATGAAATCATAAATGTTTTGTTATACGATACTAAAAGTAATCAGTAAATAATCTAACCAAATTAAATATTAGAAAGAATATAAGTTACATAATATATTCTTTTTATCTTTAATATAGTATAGGTATGAAATATAATGTATTAAAGTAGTTTTTGTTGTTTTGGATATTTTATACATAATGAAACAATCGATTAGAAATTTCTTTTGATACATTGTAATCACATCTTATCTTTGATAATCATAATATTGATAGAAATACTTTTTATATTGTTATTACTTATTGTAGTCACAAGTCACACCGAATAGATATTATTGACACGGAATTGTTTGGACAATAATTATCAATACGTCAATCCAATTTCGTTGAAAATGTGTTGATATTTKTATAATACACCTAATTTTATCAATGCTTATACAGTTACTTAATTGCAAATGAATATACGTCTTGTTAAAATGAAAAAACAACACAATACATATATACAATGTATTATACAGTGATATACATATACTATTCCGTAGTACGTATATAAAATGTATACGACCAACATAGGCATACAAATATTATTAAACTATTTTCTGCAACATTGAGGATAAAGGAGATTTGGGGTTAAAAACAAACTTATTCTGTTGATAGACTAGCGTCAAAACTATTAAATTCATAAATTTTTGGTTCGATTATATAATACAAACATTTTTGCAAGAAACACAGAAAATTTTTGAAAAATATAAAGTCAATACAATAAAAATTCTTCTTATATAATGCTATAATTAATTTATTGATTTTCATAATTTGTATAATATTTTGATTGATTAAATTATCATTATATCAGTCAATATCTTTCAGAAAAGAATGTATGCGATCTGCAAACAATTTTTAAAAGCTCATGTTTGGCTCTTTCCATAATTCTAAAAAGATAAGTGTTTAGCTGGTCTARAGGTTTCCTACTAGTCTGAACGTAATCACTGTTTTGTGTTTAGATGTTTGTTCTTTGGTTTAGACATAGAGTGACAGCGGTCGTTAAGTTTCAACTGTCTACAGTGTGTAGAGGTAGACGCTGCATGGAAGATAGACATTGAGAACTGTCAGTGCACAATCTACAAAACACTAATATTATACAGTGAAAACTGTCTAAAGCGGAATCGCATGGGACCAACAAAAAATTCCGCTTTAAGCAGTTTTCCGCTTTATTCAATAAAACGGAAAAATTCCGGTTATTCAATTCAAATAAATAAGAAATACATACCAAAGAATAGTTATCAATTTATTGTTTTAAATACATAATATAATTCTTTAAAATTCATTAAATTTAAACTAAAATCATGTATAGGTTTTTTATTACATATTACATACTACATATAAGACGACAATTAAATATTACATATAAACATTTAGCATTTCCAAAAATGATGAAGTGTTTTTTGTTTTGTTACGGTTGCTGCTATTTTTTGTTCTGTATGTTGTTTGATGAACGGA